AGCGGTTGTTTACCATCATATACAACACAACTAGCAGCAGCTTCTATACATGAACAACAGCTTAACGTGTGGTAATGCCCTTAGCTGCGACAAGTTCTCTGCTTACAAATAGCGAACATTCTTGCATTTTCCTAACTATTGCTTCCCTAACTTTTGAATGCTCACGCAAAATATTGTATGATAGGCTTTCTGATGGTAGCTTTCTCGCATAATAAATACTGTTTATATTTCCCATAATTGTTGATTGCATTTAAATGATTTTCTAGAAGTGTCTTGCGCAGGGTCATCTTTCGAGTCTTCTTTAAAACATAATGACACTAAGAAATTAATATGCTTACGGCTGTTACCATGATATTGAACCCATCCGATTTCACTCCGGGCTTGTCGGACTATGTTAATGGTTAGAGAATGTTTCCTAATCTCAGTTGCTGTTGTGTCCATAACTGGTGAATGTTTCCCAATCTTATCTGATGTGTCTGTGAATGAGAAATGTTTCCTAATCACAGCTATTGTTGTGCCCAAGATTGGGACATGTTTTCTTATTTCTACTGCTGCAATGTCCATGAACGGGCATATTTCCCAAGACCAGCTGCTCTCGACAGTTTCCAAGAGTCAAGATACAGTGGTGACACTAGTGTCTGTCTCCTCGCTAGAACACTAAACGTTACAATTCATGGGGAAAGAGGATTTTACTCAGATTACGAACCCGGTGGGAGGGGCTAATGATCCAGGATACTTCGAGACAGATTACTTCCATTGGGATCCTTTGATCCTTCTCCCCAGGATGCAACCCACAACAGTCTGCTGAAACCCTGCTAACTTACTGCTAGGTGAACAAAGGTAATATGTGTATGGAAATAAGCCCACAGTGTCCACTCCTACCGGGTTCAAACCTGGGTCCTTCACTTGTATGCTACAATGTCGTAAAAAAGTCTTCCCCAGTTTTGGGTCGGTTGCCATTAGTACTACTACATTCATGGGGAGCGCTAAGCCCGTAGATTCATACAGTCCCTGGGTGAATGGAAGACATCCAGGTTCCATCCAAGAAAGGGGAGGACAGGTCCAATTGCCTGGCTCAGGAGCCCCTTACCGGAGGATCACTTGTGAAATACACAAACACATATTAAGGTAATTCTAACATAAATCGAAATAAAATTTCTAATACATGGCTCTTTCACTCATCCGTATTTAAGCAGTGATTGACTATATATATATATTATATATAATATATATATATATATATATATATATATATTATATATATTTTTATTTTTTATTTTTTTTTTATTATCACACTGGCCGATTCCCACCAAGGCAGGGTGGCCCGAAAAAGAAAATTTTTCACCATCATTCACTCCATCACTGTCTTGCCAGAAGGGTGCTTTACACTACAGTTTTTAAACTGCAACATCAACACCCCTCCTTCAGAGTGCAGGCACTGTACTTCCCATCTCCAGGACTCAAGTCCGGCCTGCCGGTTTCCCTGAACCCCTTCATGAATGTTACTTTGCTCACACTCCAACAGCACGTCAAGTATTAAAAACCATTTGTCTCCATTCACTCCTATCAAACACGCTCACGCATGCCTGCTGGAAGTCCAAGCCCCTCGCACACAAAACCTCCTTTACCCCCACCCTCCAACCTTTCCTAGGCCGACCCCTACCCCGCCTTCCTTCCACTACAGACTGATACACTCTTGAAGTCACTCTGTTTCGCTCCATTCTCTCTACATGTCCAAACCACCTCAACAACCCTTCCTCAGCCCTCTGGACAACAGTTTTGGTAATCCCGAACCTCCTCCTAACTTCCAAACTACGAATTCTCTGCATTATATTCACACCACACATTGTCCTCAGACATGACATCTCCACTGCCTCCAGCCTTCTCCTCGCTGCAACATTCATCACCCATGCTTCACACCCATATAAGAGCATTGGTAAAACTATACTCTCATACATTCCCCTCTTTGCCTCCAAGGACAAAGTTCTTTGTCTCCACAGACTCCTAAGTGCACCACTCGCCCTTTTCCCCTCATCAATTCTATGATTCACCTCATCTTTCATAGACCCATCCGCTGACACGTCCACTCCCAAATATCTGAATACATTCACCTCCTCCACACTCTCTCCCTCCAATCTGATATCCAATCTTTCATCACCTAATCTTTTTGTTATCGTCATAACCTTACTCTTTCCTGTATTCACTTTTAATTTTCTTCTTTTGCACACCCTACCAAATTCATCCACCAATCTCTGCAACTTCTCTTCAGAATCTCCCAAGAGCACAGTGTCATCAGCAAAGAGCAATTGTGACAACTCCCACTTTATGTGTGATTCTTTATCTTTTAACTCCACGCCTATATATATATTATATATATATATATATATATATATATATATATATATATATATATATATATATATATATATATATATATATATATATATATATATATATATATATATGCAAAACAACCACTCTGAAAGAATAGAGAAATTTCAAGCGCTTTCGTGACTACTCATAGTTCCTTGATAATGTGAGTAGTCACGAAAGCGCTTGGAATTTCTCTATTCTTTCAGAGTGGTTGTTTTGCATATTTTGAAATCACCTGTTTACTGTGATCTTATTGTATATATATATATATATATATATATATATATATATATATATATATATATATATATATATATATATATATATAATATATATATATATATATATAATTGTGTGTGTGTGTGTGTGTGTGTGTACTCACCTATTTGTGGTTGCAGGGGTCGAGTCTTAGCTCCTGGCCCCGAGTGTGTGTGTGTGTGTGTGTCGTGCCGAATAGGCAGAACTTATTATTATTATTATTATTATTATTATTAAAGATTCGCCGGTATTCTCCCGGCCCGGGCCTTTTCCAAGTGGTGGCCCGGCCTTGGCTCCCTCTTTAGGGAGTGTCTGTGACCTAAGTCTTCCATGGGAGGAGGCACAAGTACCTCCTCATCTTTGGGACCAACTGTCCCCAGGCCTAGCCACAAGGTAGGCCTCGCTGGTCTGCCATCCCCGCCCCAAGGAGGCAAATAGGAATGACAGTCTTATGAGCTAAAGGCTCGGACTCAGGCACCTACCCTACCCTAGAAGGGTTAGGCATGGTATCGATCAGGCAGAACTTGCGATCTTGGCTTAAATAGCAACGCTCATCTTGCCATATATGACAAGTGAAAATTTGTGTATGCAATAATTTCGCCAAAATCATTCTGAACCTAACGAAAAAAATATATTTCACTATGTTTGTTTAGTATTAAATTATTGTAAACAAATCTAAAATATATTTAGTTGAGTTAGGCTAAAATAAATTGTTCTTCTTATAATAAGGTTAGGTAAGTTTTCTAAGATTCTTTTGGATCATAATTAAATAATTTTACATTAACGTTAATGAAAAAAAAATCTTTAAACGTATAAGAGAAAATTTTAGAAAGGACTTAATTTTAAATGAGTTCTTGCTAATTGACCAGTTTTACATATTCGGCACGACATATATATATATATATATATATATATATATATATATATATATAATATATATATATATATATATATATATATATATATATATATATATATATATATACTGAAAGGTACAGTTCTCTCAGCGCATATATCTACCTACCTGGAATCTACCTGGAGGGTATTCCGGGAATCAACGCTCCCACGGCCCGGTCCACGACCAGGCCTCGAGTGGATCAGGGCCTGATCAACCAGGCTGTTACTGCTGGCCGTACTTAGTCCAACGTACAGCTGATCCGGCACCGACTTTTAGTATCTGTCCAGCTCCCTCTTGAAGGCAGCCAGGAGTCTATTGGTGATTCCCTTTATGGCTGGTGGGAGGCTGTTGAACAGTCTTGGGCCCCGGACACTTATTGTTTTCTTCTAGTGTACCAATGACGCCCCTCCTTTTCTTTCGGGGTATTTTGCACCGCCTGTCCAGTCTTTTACTTTTTGTAGGGAATGATTTCTCTGTGTAGATTCGGGACCATTCCTCTAGGAGTTTCCAAGTGTAGATTATGATATATCTCGTCTGCGTTCCAGTGAGTACAAGTCAAGTGCTTCCAAGTGTTCCCAGTAGTTAAGGTGACTGACAGATCTTATACGTGCAGTAAAGGTTCTCTGTACATTCTCTAAATCTGCAGTTTCACCTGCTTTGAACGGAGATGTTAATGCACAGCAATATTCCAGCCTTGTGAGAACAAGTTATTTAAAAAGAATCATGGTGAGTTTAATGCATATATCTGTTTTAGGGAATAAGGTATTCTTGTTTGGTGGTGTAAATGACCCTAAAGTAGTTAATGGTCTTTATCCCCCCCCCCCTGTTGAAGTAATGATTTTATTAATGTTAGAGACAATGATTCTCCCCAGTCACAAAAAATAACTTAGCCTTCCAGACAAATAAATGCAAGTCATTCTGATTATGCTTTTCGAAAATGTGACTTTTACCCACAAACTTCAACATATGACCGTCAGGCAGTTCAACTGACTCCCAGACCTCAGTTAACATCAGAAAAACCAGCGTTCAGTTCAGGCGAGGCGGGCTAGTTGCTCCTGCTTACCTAAGAGTAAGTAGGTACCCAGGTGTTAGTATGCTGTTGGGGGTCGCATCCTGGGGATGAAGATAATGGACGCTAGTGGAAATAAGCCAGATTGACTTTCGTGGGTTATCTTGGTTTATTAACTCCACTCGGTTAATAATCCGAAAAAATCTTTAAATTATCCAATGTCACTAACGGGGTGGGGGATATTTCCGGATAATACCAAGGAAACTGGCCTAAAATTCCCCCGGAACCATTGTGCCTTAACCTCGCTAACAGTTCTTAACACCTGCATCAGCCAATGGACGAAACATTAAGGGAGAAACGTTGCTAAGTTTTCAGTAAGGACGATCCTCTGCAGAAAGTTTGGCCCTAACTGGCTGAGCTACCCGCCATGCTGGCGCCGTCGTCCAGACGAGCCTAGACTTGCGCTATAACTTCCACCATCCTTGCCTTTAGCTGAAACCAAGCCTAATTTTTTCTATTTGAAGGCGAGTTGATGAAGGTTTCATCAGTCTTGCACTGGACCCCGGAGAGGTACGCCTAAGGACGGAGGAGAGTGAAATATAGGCAATATTGTGAGTATGGGGGAGGGGTGGGTATCAGCAGGGGTTAAAGTCCGTATATGGTGGTGTAGTGGTCAACTTACTTACGGTGGGGACCAGTCCAGTTTTACTGACAAGGATTATCTGCCTGTTCTCATATTTTATTGGCCACATTAACTATAAAATTTCCTGTTTGTTACGACCTGAATTAGTATACTTAGGATTTTACCGTGTAAATAGTTTGTTTAAATATGTTTTACTAGCCAAAAAATATTTGTATAAATTTGTGTACTTTAAAAAATGCAAAGTAAAATGTAGCTATTCGCTACGTAATTATATGTAAATAATAACAAAAAATAAAATTATTTATATAATTAAGGAAGGTAGCCTACCTTGTTCATGGCGGCTAAGAATGTACTGGTGAGGTTATAAGGTCAAGAAGGTCCTGTCCCTGTGGCCCTCGACTGTCTCTCTGAATTTATCTAGTTGTTATCGCTTATTTTTTATTTTATAGTCATCTCTGCGTTCTGTCTCTGCATCTATATGCCAATCTTGTTATATTTTCACATATTTTTCCTTTAACAACTTCTAATAAGTTCATGTCTTCTTTCATATCTTTAAGCGCACGATGGACGGTGGAGAGAGTAGGAGGGAAGCTAAAAAGGAGGAAGAAGAGTGCTGGTGCCGGGGGCCAAAAGGAGGACCCGGGGATCGTCCTTGTACACTTGTCCAGCATTGGAATGTCGGTCTCTCGAGAGGACGATTACCTTGTGAGTGTACCAAGTACTATTTTCCTTCTTCCGATTTTCTCCTGGAGGTTTATTGCCATTTGTGTTGTCAGACGGTAGGATTGATTCAATTTGCAAGTAGAATAGATGAATATTTGATCATGTAGCGATATATGCTCGTTGCCGACCACAACCTTCCTGCTTCTCGCACTAGTACTGTATAGGTTACCTTAGTATACCATTCGTTCGTCTGGCTTCAACATCTGATGTCATGCTTAATTTACATTCTAAAAGCATGGCGTTCTCCTTGCTGCCCTTTGTGGCTAATACATTGTCACACACACACCCCCACCCATCCACAAATGGTTAGCAGTTTTAGATACACCGTACTGTCCAGCTACCCTAGTCTATACAGTAGTCATTTTACAATATCAGAACTAGAGCTAATTATGTTTACCTTTCATATCCTTCACACAGGATGGTTGGTCATATGTAATAGCTTTGCGCCATTAGCTATGAATGCGAGTTAAAACCTTCCAGTAGCTCTGGAGTTTCTTGCACGTGGCAATGGGAGGAAGTCACTTGGTCTGTCTTTTGGGTTATGCTAGGCAATTTACACATAAGTTACTAGGTATGATAATTGTACTTATGTGCACCTGTACCTAAATAAACTTGCTTTCTAACCACCATCATATAAAATGGTTAATCGAAGTACAAGGCTGGACCACGGCATACATTATCTGTCCTAAACATTTACTTATTAAAATCCACCCTTTTAGTGAAAATACCCATAAAGAATCAAGCGAGAAAGACATATTTATGTCGCCGAGAAGTGTTGTAAGATATCCAGAGTAGATATACAGGTGCAGGACTTGATGCACTGATAGTCTAACGATTGTGACCATGTTTCCTTTGAGTATCTTGTATGGCGTGACTGTCCCCTTTGAGTATACCTGGAGAGGGAGAGTATACCTTGGGAGGGTTTTGGAGGTCAACGCCCCCGTACATATAAATGTTTCGTCTGATTATCTTACATATTGTGGCCATGTTTCCTCTGAGTATTTTGTGTGTTATACCCATGTTTCCTTTGAGTATCCTGCATGTTTGACCATATCTCATCTGAGTATTTTGTATGTTGTGACTAAATTTGATAGCTTTATTGTGCACCAGATTCCCATCCTATCCTTTTGAGGTAGTCAGAAGAGTAGAGAAACATTTAGCGTTATTACGAGTACTGCTGCACAGTTGGCTTGACCTTTTATTACTGTTAACCACGACTTCAAACCTTTTCACATTCAGTTTAATTGAGATCTACATTATTTAGTCTATAAGTGTCATAATTATTTTCGTTTCCTAGAGGTAGAATATTACATTTGTCCTCATTAAAATTCATCTGTCACTTCGTCCACAGCATCAACCTATCCAGATCACAATGTAGCTCTCCTGTGTCCGTGTCAGAATTTATTTGATAGCGTATTTTAGTGTCATTGGTAAACTTGCTCATGTCGCTCTGTATTCTATTGAATAATTAGACACATGCAATATCTGAGTAGTTTTGCTTGTAGACGTTTCGCCTTCCACTGTCTCTGTCATCACTCTTTGTATCTTACTTAGATACTCTTTAGTCCATCGCACTTCCTTTTCTGTTATTTTTGTCTATTCTTTTAGCTTTTGACCCATTCTCTTGTGCGGTAATATCAAATAACAATCCATCTCTCTCTCTCTCTCTATCTCTCTCTCTATCTCTCTCTCTCTCTCTCTCTCTCTCTCTCTCTCTCTCTCTCTTTCTATTTCTATTTCTCTCTCTCTCTCTCTCTCTCTCTCTCTCTCTCTCTCTCTCTCTCTCTCTCTCTCTCTCTCGTTCTCTCTTTTTTTTTTTTTTTTTTTTTTTTTTTTTTTTTTTTTTTTTTACCAGGGTTTGACAAGGTTAAGGCCCCCCTTAGCTTTATTGCCCAGCAAAATTTACGGGGTTAAGGTTTTCCTAATTTTAAATTGGAAGTTTAAGAGCTGTACCTCCATCAGCTCATTTGAAAGTTTTTTTAAATTTGTTATGAGACATAAAAAGTACGGGACAGGATGTTTTTGGGGCCTTCTGTGGGCCAGCTTTTTCATTTGATCAATGATTTTAAATTCTCGTTGCCTCTTTTATCGTCAAATGTGTTTCCATACTTGAGTCACCCGGGGTATGTATATCCAGATGGAGTGATGTTCTGGAGAAGGGTACAGCCAGAGTGAAGTTCCCTGCTTTCTGCCTCTCTCCCCTCTCTCTCTCATCTCCCCCTTCTCTCTCTCTCTTCCCCTCCCCCTCTCCCCTCTCCCCTCTCCCCTTTCCTCTCTTCCTCTCTCTTTCTCCCTTTTTCTCTCTCCTCCTCTCTCTTTTCCCCCCTCTCTCTCTCTCCTCTTTTCCCCCTTCTCTCTCTCTTCCCCTCTCCCCCTCTCTCTCTCTTTTTTCCCTCTCTCTCTTTCTCTCGTTCTTCCCCTTCCTCCCCTCGTTCTCCTCTCTGTTCTCTCTCCCTTTCTCTCTTTCCCCTTCCCCTCTCTCTCTCTTCTCTACTCTCTCTCTCCTTTTCCTCTCTCTCCTCTCCGCTCTTCCTCTCTCTCTTCTCTCTCTCTCTTCTCTCCTCTCTCTCCCCCTCTCTCCTCCCCCCTCTCTTTTCCCCTCTCTCTCTCTCTCCTCCCCTCTTTTCCCCTTCTCGTTCTCTTTTTCCCCTTTTCTCTCTCCCTCTCTCTCTCTCTCTCTCTCCCCTCGCTTTTCCTTCTCTCTCTTTTTCTCTCTCTCCTCTCTCCCCTTCCCCTTTTCCCTTTTCTTCTCTCTTCTCCCCTCCTCTCTTTTTTCTCTCTCTCTCTTTTTTTCTCTTCTTTCTCTCTCTTCTTTTTTTTCCCCTCTCCCCTTTTTCTTCTCTTTTCTTCTCCCCCTCTCCTCTCTCTCTCTCTCTTCCCCCTCCCCCTCTCTCCCCTCTCTCCCCTCTCTCCCCTCTCTTTTCTCTCCCCCCCCCCTCTCTCCCCTCTCTCTTTCTCTCTGTTTTTGTTTCGTTACAGAATGTTTGAAAAAACGGAAATTTTAACTAAAAATTTAAAAATTTCATGCTGGGTTTTTTTTAATTACAACAGAAATATCCCCAAATGTTCTACTTACCCCTTACTTTTAAAGGCAAATTAATAATACTGATTTGTATTCAAATACTATCTGTTGGCCACTTTTTTAGATATTGGGACTACTTTTGGCCATCCCTCACACCTCTGAAAATTTAAAACCGGGGGCATCCTTGACTCGTTACGAGTTTTTACCTTCATAAAAAGGGAAAATTTCCTTTACTGCCCCCCCAAAGGGACCCCATTGGAAATAAGTCCCTTTGTTTTTCTTTTTTTGGGGGTTATCCTAGGTTTTTTACACAAACTTTTTTTATATGATAATTTATGTAACGGAAATTTTCCGGGAGTTTACCTGGAGAAAATTTCCCGGGGGCCCAACCCCCCCCGGGGCCCCGGTCTGGGGACCAGGCCTCCTGGTGGATCAGAGCCTGATCAACCAGGTACCGGGTACCTAAATTTAAACTTACCACTAATTTGCTTAGCTATAAAAAATAATTGGTATTCAACCCCCGGGAATCAGTTTTTGTCTGTTGTAATCTTTTTTTAAATGTGGGTAAAACCGGGAGAGTTTTAGAAAAAAACCAGTTTTACTTTTCCCCTTATTTTCATTTTTTTTTCTCTAATTTGTGCAAATACGTGGGTAACGGGTTTGGGGGGGCAGGAGGAATATCTGAAACAAGATGTGAAATTTAAGAAAGAGGGGAGTAAAAAAAAAAAATTTGGGAATGGAATTATCGCTATTTGGTATGGGGATGGGAGGGAGGGAAGAGGTAAAATGGGTTAGATAGGAGGGGATGGAAGGGGGGGGCGATAGGACATTTAAATGGTGAGGGGGGGGGGGCGGAGGGCGGGGAAGGGAAACGCCGGGAAACGCCTGAGGACACTCTCCTACCGTCAGGGTCGCCCAAGGGACGCCCTGTGGACTTCTAAAAGGGCCCGGGTTTTTGGTGCTGCTGCGCTGTTGCGTTTCCGGGGTACTGCTTTTTCTGCTTCGGGGTACTTTGTTGCTGCTTCAGGGTACTGCTTTTGGGGGGGTTTGGGCTTCAGGGTACGGGCTGTTCTGCTTCGGGGTTTACTGCTGTTCTGCTTAAAGGGGTACTGCTTTTGTTTGCTGCTGTTCAAGGAAAACTCCCGGCGTTTTCGGGTTTTTTCTGTTGCGGTTTCGGGGTACTGCTTTTGGGGCTGTTTGCTGTTTCATGGAAACTGCTTTTTGCGTTTTCGGGTACTTTGTTGTGTTCAGGGTACTGCTGTTGCTGCTGCTGTTTCCCTGGAAACTGGGTTGCTGCTTCGGGGTACTTCTTTTGCTGTTTAAGGGTACTGGTTGCTGCTGTTGCTTCAGGGTACGCTTTTTGCGTTTGGGGGGTACTTCTGTTGCTGTTTCGGGAAAATGCGGGTTGCTGCTGTGCTTCATGGTACGCTTTTGCGTTTTCGGGTTTACTGCTGTTGCTGCTGCGTTTTCAGGGTACCGGTGCTGCTTCGGGGGTTACTGCTGTTGTGCTTCAGGGTACTGCTGTTGTGCTCAGGGTATTGTTGTTGCTGCTTCGGGGTTACTGCTGTTGCGGGCTGCTGTTTTCATGGTATGCTGTTGCTGCTTCGGGTACTCTTTTTGCTGCTGCTGTTTCAGGGTACTGCTTTTGCGCTTCGGGGTACTGCTGTTTTTCCCTTCGGGGTACTGCTTTGCTGCTTCAGGGTACTGCTGTTGCTGCTGCTGCTTCAGGGTACGGGCCTTGTTGCGGTTTCAGGGCACTTTGTTGTGCTGCTGCTTTCACGGTACTGCTTTTTGCTGTTTCCCAGGGTATGCTTTTTGCTGCGCTGTTTTCGGGTACGGCGGGTTGCTGCTTCAGGGTACTGCTGTTGCTGCTGCTGCTTCGGGGGAAAACTCTGTTCCCTGCTTGGGGTACTGCTTTTGGGCTGTTTTCAGGGTACTGCTGTTGCTCTGCTCCCTTCGG